TGTTCCTCCCCAAACTCTCTGATAAGAGTACCCCGCTCAACACTCCACAACTACAACACAAAACAAACTTCTCATTCTCATGACTGATGTTTGAACAATGTTCACACAGAACTTTCCCACATAATGACAGTATAGTGTGATCATATCGGTCAAGCAACAAAAAGATAAATAAACCGTATACATGTTTTGTAACAGCATGAAGATGAATATTTAAAGAAATTCTGGAACAAACCTTCCAGAAAGATACTGATCCACAAATAAAGTGGGCAAAGAGACAGACACACTTACCTTAACCTTCCTGTCACTGGAGCAGGTAGCAATGTAACGGTCATCTGGAGAGAAGGCACAGCACAGAACATCTTCATCATGAGCCTGAAGCTCCAGAAGTTTCTCTCCAGAGGTTGTTTTAAACACCTATTGAATAAAAAAAAAAAACTAATTGGGATGTCACATAATACTGCACATAATGTCAGGGAAAAAAGCAGGACACAAATAGATATTTACCCGCAGCGCCTTGTTGGCCCCACAAGAGGCGATTTTACTCCCATCTTTGGAAAAGCAAGCATAGTAGACAGACCCCTGCTGAGGATGCATGACCAGCCTGGACAAACTGTCCTGATTATTTTTGCTCCTAAAGAGTCAAAACACGCTTTCAATCAAAATCAATCGGTTTCAATCTGATCTACTACATGAAAGTTACTGTGTGAGCCCAGTGAGATACATACACCCAGTCCAGACAGAGCTGCCCTCTGCTGGCCCTTTTCTGCGCCTGCATCAAGGCCTGTCTGTAAACCTCTGAACACACAGGCTGAGACAGAGCCAACTGCACTATGTCAGGAAATGGCCTCTGCTCCAAATGATGGCCATTTAAAGACAGGAACTCCTGAAACTGCAGTCTCACCTCACTATTCTGTGTGAAAACACCACAATTTATCATTAAACAGAACAGGCGGAGGTGTGCTATTCGTGCTAAGATCGTGACAGTTTTTTTTAGCAATAAAATGTTTTTCTTTTACATTTTTAGAATCAATTTAAAATGTATCAGACTTGCAATTAAAACTAATAAATATATATATATATATATATATACATACATATACACACACACATTTTTATTACAAATACTTAAAAACAACAAGCCATTATCATAAACATGTTTATCATATATATATGGGTGTCCAGACTGAGGCACAACAATAAAATAGTGACATTTGGCAATATGGCCATTTTATACAAACTGTATTCTGTGCCAACTTCATGTAAATATTTTTAGTTATTTGGTCTGTAACTTTTAAACTGATTAAGATGTGCAATTGTGAGGAACATCAATAACAATCAAACTTTAACAGTATAAATACCTCTTTATCTAGTATTTCACCATATTCTACATAATCGTTGATAAGATGGGGAGATCCCATAATCTGAGCTTTCTCTTTGACCCAGTCCAATGAAAACATCAGTGAATATAGCTCCTGTAATGAGAGAACTGAATGTTCATGATGTAATCATTAGAAGATTCTACATACTCTCCAGAGGAACGGAAATGTTAGTGTAGACTATACTGTAACATTACCTTAGACAGTCCTGCTTTAGCCATGTGGTATGGGAGGAAGCGGTACCAATACAAACAGTCTATATCTCCAGAGCTGGGTGGCCTTTCATTGTAGAACTTCTGGTATTGACGGATCATCTTTTTATGTAGTTCCTACAGGAAATAACAATTCAGACCTTGTTCTCTGGTGGTCTCTTTAAAAAGAGGTGCAACATAACTCACAGCAATTTGATCACGATTCTGTTCGACGAGAAAGTCCAGCTGCAGATCATGAAGGTAATAGTGGTATGGTCGCTGGTTACAGTCTCGAAACAGCAGAGATTTATTCACAAACTCCTGTAGGATATCCTCCACCTCCTCCAACTCAAGACCCCACAGTACTGACAGAATCTGCATGAAAGAAATAAAATGATTAAAAACAACAAAAAAAAAAGACTAATTTACAGAAAAAAAGCAATTAAAATATCCATCCTTGTGTCACACTTGGAAGTACAATTTAAATTATGAATAAAATAAATGACACTGATTCTGCATCTACCATTACTTTAGTAGTTGGCAACAGATTTTCTGTCTGACCTTAGCAGGCACTTTGATGTCTTTCTGCATGACGCTCAGGTCTCTGTACAGATCTCTGTGTTCTGGCTCCAAAACCTGCAGACTGGCGTCCATGGCCTGGTCCAGAGCTTCATAGTCGTAGGACGATGACTTACGGATCCGCTTGAACTGCTTCTTCTGCAGCTGTCGCAGGTAGTAGCTCCAGCGGTCAGGGAACTCCCTCAATAGAGCTCCAATCAGAGAAACAACCAGAGGAGAACCTAACAGGACGAGAAACGATTACAATGGTCAGAGGTGTAATGTAGATCACTAATGGTACTTCATTATTATACCAGAGTATTAAGTACTATTACTGAATTGTTATGCAAAGGCAATAGATAAAGAAAATAAATTATTGAAATAAAAAAAAATGCAATACATTTTATATAAAAATACAGTATGAAATAAAAATGAATTTAAGGCCAAGTCATTAAACTTGTAATTATTAACCTTAAAAATAATTTCAGAACCAGTTACAAGCAAGATATCTATTATAAGGTTAATATGACATTGTAAAGCGAGGTAGCGGACAATACCCAGCCCTAATTGACAATAAGTGGGTGAGAAATGCTGTTCTTGTGGCTGGGTCATGTTTGATCAGCTTTTGCTTCAGTTTTGCATAAAAAGGGTGATTTGTACCTTTACATTCGCTCACAATGCTACGGGCCTCTTCTGGAAGTTTCTGTGGTTTCCCATTGACATACAAAGCAAGAATTTCCAGGGCTTTCTCCTCATCTAGACCGCTCTCAACGGGCACTTCAAACCTTGTACCTACACACAAACAGAGAAAAGCGCACACACAAACAGTATAAACCCTTACTTTTGAATGAAATTAGTATGTTAAATGAATTATGCAAAATAGCCACAACACTATAGACAAAGGAACATTTCTCTCATAACCTCAGCTGAAAATAGCTTATCTCCAAGAACAGCTGCTCTCGGGGTTATCAGAGTTTTACGTAATTTCATTTAGTTCAGAAGTTGCCTTGGATTTAATTCAAATTTCATACGCAAGCAGGCACAAGATCCAACCTAGTCATGGATTAACCTAGACTTTTATTTAGGAATAACCACTCTGTGCATTTGGTCCAGAATCCATCTGTGAAATGCAAACTGGATGCACTAAAATGAACTTCTCACCGCTAACAGAGTCGGCCAGACTTCGATTACGCGTGGTCAGAAGAACTCTGCACTGGATATCAAAGGACCTGAGAGCAAAGCTGTCCCACACATCGTCCAGAATCAGCAGGGATCTGATAGAAGAAAATGAAAGGAGAAAGGGTCTGATTATCAACGGACGTACATGTTCTGTGTAAAAGTGCACTGAAATCATATTCTTCCTGCACTCACCTAGGGAACCTGCGGTGCATTAGAAACCGTAGACGCTCTTTGGCCTCCTCCACGGAGCAGGGTGGCCGCAGACTGGCATCTGAACTTTGACCCTGCTCCAAACGGAAACATAAAGACTGTATCCTTACCAACAGGTCTGCCCGCTCACATTGGCCGACAGAAAGCCAATGAACGCCACCTGGAAAACACTCTGAGCAACAGAGAGAAAAATAAAATATGTTATATGAGCACTTTTAGCCCTGTGGTCTATTAGAAATACTCTTAAAACATACTTTCAATTAAAAAAAACATTTTTTAAGGTGTGAATTACTTTGTCCACTATCACTTTAAGAATATTATTATATAATTACAATAAAATAAAAGCACAAAAAAGCAAATAAATACAAATAAAAAATATGCTAAAACAAAAACACTAAAACCTAAGAGAACAAATAAACATACATCCATAAATCTCAAGAAACACCCAACTAAAATACAAACCCGATTCCAAAAAAGTTCTTGTCTAATACAGGCTTCTAGTTGCTCAACTGCCTTAGGTCTTATTTGTCGCATCTTCCTCTTTATGATGCGCCAAATGTTTTCTATGGGTGAAAGATCTGGACTGCAGGCTGGCCATTTCAGTACCCGGATCCTTCTTCTACGCAGCCATGATGTTGTAATTGATGCAGTATGTGGTCTGGCATTGTCATGTTGGAAAATGCAAGGTCTTCCCTGAAAGAGACGATGTCTGGATGGGAGCATATATTGTTCTAGAACTTGGATATACCTTTCAGCATTGATGGTGCCTTTCCAGATGTGTAAGCTGCCCATGCCACACGCACTCATGCAACCCCATACCATCAGAGATTATAGACTTCTGAACTGATAACAACTTGGGTTGTCCTTGTCCTCTTTAGTCCGGATGACATGGCGTCCCAGTTTTCCAAAAAGAACTTCAAATTTTGATTCGTCTGACCACAGAACAGTTTTCCACTTTGCCACAGTCCATTTTAAATGAGCCTTGGCCCAGAGAAAACGCCTGTGCTTCTGGATCATGTTTAGATATGGCTTCTTTTTTGACCTAGAGAGGTTTAGCCGGCAACGGCGAATGGCACGGTGGATTGTGTTCACTGACAATGTTTTCTGGAAGTATTCCTGAGCCCATGTTGTGATTTCCATTACAGTAGCATTCCTGTATGTGATGCAGTGCCGTCTAAGGGCCCGAAGGTCACGGGCATCCAGTATGGTTTTCCGGCCTTGACCCTTACGCACAGAGATTGTTCCAGATTCTCTGAATCTTTGGAAGATATTATGCACTGTAGATGATGATAACTTCAAACTCTTTGCAATTTTTCTCTGAGAAACTCCTTTCTGATATTGCTCCACTATTTTTCACTTTCTCACTTTCTACATCTGATATGTTATCTATATTCTATTGTGAATAAAATATAAGTTTATGAGATTTGTAAATTATTCCATTCCTTTTTTACTCACAATTTGTAGTGTCTCCAAACTTTTTTGGAATTGGGTTTGTATTAGAAAGGTGCGCATTTAAAAATTTTATAAAAATCACAAAAACCTAAACACGGTTAAGTCATTACCCTTAATAAGGGCATGGTCTCGAACCGCCTCGGCAGCCATCACAGACTTCCCTGAGCCCGCCATGCCAAACACAGTGACCCAGCCTGGTGTATTCTTCAGCCAGTACAGCTTCTCCCGGACCAGGTTGAGCAGAGTGGGTCGGCTCACAAACACCACAGGTCTCTGAGGCACCCCACCTTCACTCAGAATTGCCTGGACTAGAATAAAAGCACACAAATTCTCCAGCATCTCATACTAAGCAAAAACAAGTTCATACATGTCCAAGTGGCTAAAGTGGTTACCAGAGGGAGACACTCCATCAGCAAAGCTTCGCTCTCCCTCAGGGCTGAGGAGAGGCAAGTCACTATGGAGGAGGTTGGCCAGATCTCCATAACTCTCCCTGACCAGCGCATTGTAGAAGGAGATGTAGGCCCTGTTGTCTTTCCTCAATAGCACCTCTAGCAGGGCTGTGGCCTGCTCTCTTCTAGTAGGCTGAAGAAGTAGGAAAAAGGAAAACTTGACTTAAATTCACTTTTTATAGATGTAAAAAGTAGCATGTTGAACACCACAACAGACCTTGCCAAGCACCCTTGCTTCTTCATCATTCGTCAAGATGTCGTCGCTGACCATGTGGTCCATCAAGTAGGAGGCTTTAATGTCCTGCTCTAGAGTGTCTTTGGAGCGCAGCAGGCAGCTCCGAGCGCGTTCCTCCATCTCCACATAAGCTGCGGTGCTCTTCTGAGGAGCACTGCACTTGATTGACAGTTACTTAGTGCAACAGGGCAGGATGCATTGAATGAACTATGTGGGAGAGCGCATACAAATTAAGCACTTTAATTACTAAACCAGGGACCATTTTACAGAAAACCCTAATTCTGAACACTTATTGGATTAGTAACCATGATTATTTCTTTTAGAATTATTCAGAACATTGCAAGACTTGAGGCCGTTCCACACCAAGTTCTAATATTCTATAATTCTATGAGAATAGAGAAGTCCACACCACAACTGTAACGATAACAACAGAAACTACATCACTGGACCACTTTCAGAACGATTTGTGGAAGTGGAACGATTTGGGGAAGTCGACATAACTGCAGCATGTTCTTGCAAAAAACAACTTTACTGTATGTTGATGTGGACGCTAATATAGTTATATTTATAGTTAACATTCTTGGTGTGAAACAGGCCTTTAGGATGGGAGAATTCTGTAATGCAAAAAAAAAGTCAACAAAACTGGCATAACTTTTGTTCTCGCTGTAGTATTGTTGCTGCCGCCATGTCATGAAGTGTGTTTCGTTGTGAAAGCGAAACTACTTTGTTTGGTCTTCCAAAAGAGGACGATATCCGCTTCGTCATGCCTAGAGATGATCCGTGCTGGTCGCTGAGGGAATACATCAACTTAGTCGTGTGTCTTCATGTCTTATGTATGTCAATATTATAAATGTTAATATTAATTTTTTCTTTTGTTTTTATTTGCTCAAAGTTTGATAAACTGATCCATTATTTGCAGGTGAGGTCTGTAGAAAATGTTGAAATTGTTTTAGTGCTTGTGCTAGAGTCATAGTTAAAAGCTATGTTTTGTCTGCAATAAAATGAAAAAGAAAAAACACACACACACACACACACACACACACACACACAATAGGCCTACTTTATTATTTTATAATATATAGAAGTGTGCATTGAGTCAATCTAATAGCTGCTGCGGTAAAGTAAAAAAAAATGCTTGAAATAATTCATAGCATATAATTCATAGTCATAGCAGCTTATTAGTCACAAGTCTCTTTAGTCAAAGTGCTCATCAGATATCAAAGTCAATTAATTACCAGTGTTTTGAAAGTTAAAAAAAAACCACACACAACACACACACACAATGAAGGCAGTAATGAATGCTGATCAAAAGCTTGACTTTACTTTAGTGACATCAAAATGTTCTGTTTAATTAAATCTGAAATACGCAAGAATTTGTTCTCTAGAATATGCACTTTTAACATGAACTTTACTGTTAGAAATACAACCATATCTGACGGGTTTGGTTACTTGTCTCTCTCTCACTCTTTACAGTAAATATGGGTGTTTTTTAAATCAGGATAGGTTAAAAGGAATTATTCTTATAATATTTATCAGAACAGATTTAGATAAATTCAGCATTACATCACTTGCTCACCAATGGATTCTCTGCTGTGAATGGGTGCCGTCAGAATGAGAGTCCAAACAGCTGATAAAAACATAATAATAATAATAATACCAACACAATAATCCACAAGCAATCCACATGAATCCAGTCCATCAATTGATGCCTTGTAAAGCAAAACACTGTTGTCTCATCTGAATCAGGAGAGAAATCAGTTGGGTCCCTTTCAGCCTCTGGGCCCTAGCACTCTGTCCCCCCCTCCCCCCCCTCTTCACTGGTGCAAGCATTACTATGGATTATAGACTTGTATTTTAATGTAAAAATGCCTTAATGATGGCTTCACATGACATTAATTGATTGACTGAAGTCATGTGGATTTCTTGTAGATTATTGTGATGTTTTTATCAGCTGTTTGGACTCTCATTCTGAAGGCACCCATTCACTGCATAAGATGAGCAAGTGATGTAATGCTACATTTCTCCAAATCTGTTCTGATAACGAAACAAATTCCTCTGCATCATCTACATCTTAATATGCATTATACAGAAAATAGAAAATTCAGTTTAAAATCATTTTATATAGAATATTTATCACACTGCAGTACTCCTTTAATCACTTCCATGCCAAATATAATCATAGATTATATTAATATGCTTAAACCCTTATGGGTATTAAATCACAAGGCTATTTTGGTAATGCCACTGACCTCAAAAATATTAATTAGCCGAAATGAAGAAAAATGATGTCAAGTGTTTGTTTGGCGCGTAATTGAATGTATGGCTGAATGCCTGACGTGTGTGAACACAGGTACCGGTAGTCACATTGGAGTCATCAGTAATAATTTGCGCCTAGCGCACTGTGCCTTGTGCGTCAGCGCTCAACTGCAGGAGACAAACACCCTTTTCAAATAACACACTAAACAGTCGCATTAGGTTTCTAAGGTAGGATTACATTTACAATGGCTGATAACCTTAATTGCAGCAGGGATGACTGCTCCAGCGCGCAGGAAGCGTTTGGTTTATCCGAGGGACACATTGCGCTCGTGAAAGCGGCAGTTCTTGGGTGCATTTTCGTGCTGGCATCATTTAGCAATTTATTCCTCCTCCATTCCCTTTGGAAAAGACGGAAAAGACGTACTCGAACTCAGCTGTTTCTTCTGCACCTGTGCCTGGCTGACCTGGTGGTCGCTTTCTTCCAAGTCCTGCCGCAGTTATCCATGGAGATTACGCACCTGTTCAAAGGCTCAGATCTGGTGTGCAGAGTAGTTAAGTATCTTCAAGTGGTCGGGATGTTCGCGTCCACGTATATGATCGTGGCCATGACCATAGATCGCTATCACGCGGTCTGCAAACCCATGGTGTCGTTCTTCAGGGGGTCTTTCCGCAGGTATGTTGCCATAAGCGCAGCATGGCTCATCTCCCTGGTGTTCAGCGCTCCGCAGATGTTCATCTTCTCTCTACAAGAAGTTGAGAAGAATGTTTTCGACTGCTGGGCGACATTTATTGAGCCCTGGGGAGGCAGAATATACATAACGTGGATCACTCTGTCCGTGTTTGTTCTGCCAGCCGTAATCTTGATGTATTGTCAGATAAAGATTTGCGCAGGGATCTATTTCAACATGAAGAGGAAAGCCTTGCAGGGCAGCACGGGTGATGGGCGCTCCAGCTCTAAAGGGATATCAAGCGCAATGATGAAGACTGTCAAAATGACTTTCATTATCATCCTGGTGTACACCCTCTGCTGGAGCCCATTCTTCGTGGTCCAGCTCTGGTCAGCTTGGAGTCCAAGCAGTGCGCCCACCCATGGTAAGTCAAAGTAGCTGTCTGTCAAAATAAGCTTCTGTTTGGCATTTTCATTTGACCTAGTAAAACATTTTTCGATACAAATTATATTATCAGTTTAACAATGAGTGTAAAAATGCACTGAAAACTAAACAAGACGGCAAGCAGGAACTCCACTGGTTTGTGTAAAACTTGATAATCATGTTTTCAATATTATATTTGTAAATATATAAGACACATTTCCCCCCACTATTTTTCTAAAACCTTTCTTTTTATGTTCAGGTTTAAATGCATTTTAAAAAATATGAAATATTTTTAATAAGGAACTGTTTTTTGAATTACAGGTTTAGTCCTCAGGGTCTGTCCACAAATCTGCAAATATTACATATAAAAGTGCAGAATCTTTAATACTTCTTTTAAATATGGTCATAAAATATTCGTAAATATTTCTACATATTTTTTTAAAAATCCTTTCATTGTATGATCAAATTTAAAAAGCATAAACATGTAGAAATATGTTAATAAGGAACTGATTTTATATGATACACTATATTTAGACAACGATGAATAAAATAATGCCCCCTATCAAATAATAAAAAGTAAAAGCGTTTGTCTCCATATACTGGCATATAACCACATGGTTACAGTGTGGTAGGCAATATTTAACTCTTGTGATAATAGATGTGACTAAAGGCCCATTAATGTGTATAAGACATCATATATGTGTATATGATTACTCACAACCATTTTCTGTTGTGGGAATTATCTGTCTCCCCTCAGCTGCAGACAGCAGATACACATTGGCATTAGTAAAACATTCATTAGTAGCTGACAAAAGACCTGATCAGATCAAACCAACTCATGTGTAGACAGGTGCACACAGGCAATATTTTTGCACAGAGAACACAATTGATTCCAAGTTTGAACACTTCCTATGTGTAATTTGTTATTTTGTGTGTAATGCAGTCTCATCTGTCCTACAGGGCCAGTGTTTGTCACTATCATGCTCCTCGCCAGTCTTAACAGCTGCACAAACCCATGGATCTACCTGTACTACAGCTAGAACCTCATGGCCACTGATCACCCACTGTTCCTGCTGTTTAAGAGTGCGTGAATATGGTCTCAGCATACACTTAAACACCAGTTTTCCTGCTTTTTCAATAACTAAAATGATTTTGGTCATGGAAAGTTGCTGTATACTTTGGCATGGTCATTTGTTTCTATTTAAAAAAAAATAAGAAAAAGACAAAGAAATAGACTGTTTGTACCACTAAGAGAATGAAAGAGATCTGTTCTCTTTCATTGTTGCATGTACAACGTTTTCAATGTAAGTAAAGTAGATATTCACATACTGAGGTGTGAATCACATGTGATTAAAGTAATGTTATTTTCCATTCCTCATTGAAATGAAAATACAAAAGCCTGTGTATGAAAAGCTCTATAGGATTAAAATTATGTGTGATGGTTTCCATAGTCACTGTGTTGCTCTTGTACTTTCACACACACACACACACACACACACACACACACACACACTTCTTTGTACTGCAAAGCCTGCTTTCTGTGAAAGTAACTGTGTAGAGAATGCCTTCACACATTTTGAATTTAATTTGAGTACTTAAAGTGAATTAAAAAAAATGAATGTTCCTTTACTAAAAACCCAGATTCATGCAAACATCAGTCAAGATTTTCAGCAATCAGATTCATAATCATATTTCCCTCCAGAAATTTCTAAGCTTCGATTTCCCTCTGTTACCATAAATAGAGCAATATTGAATATATAATGCACCTGAATAGTTCTTCGCACATTTGTAGACTAAAAACTGTCTTTTATGGGTTTAATTATTCTAAAAAATAATGATTTTTAAATATTTATTTAGTTAGTTAGGCCATAATTGTGCACTTGTAGCATGTTAAAAAAATGTAATCCCATTTATGCAAAAAAAAAAAAAGAATAGACGTCATTTGAAAAACAATTAAGTAAATTAACTCACAAAAGTGTCTTGGTTAATGTGCTTAAGTTACAATAGTAAAAACATGTTTAAAAGCATCTAACCTTTATGCAACTGCCAAATGACACAAAGTAATTGATTTGCCTTTTTCACTGCACAAACTCAGTTTGGATTTGAGGCAAAATGGAAGCCTAAGGCAACTGTATACAAGGTAGCTGTTGGGAAATGGAATTAGAGCATTTAGAGGCTAATAAAAAATGATGGAGACCATTGTAGCCAAAGAGCGGGAGGGAAGGCAGAAGTGAGAATAAGACTTATCAAATACAACACGTTGTAAATTACATAATTTAGGAAATTGCCTCTGAAAAATATGAGCAATAAGATCATTAGATTGGATAATATTACAAAAACAGATTTACTTTGAAATTAAATAGACCAGCATCATAGTACACAAAGAACAGTGACGATACGGTCTGACCTCCCAAACAAGACAAAGTCCAGATACATTCAAAGAACTGCACTCGTAGATACTAACGTCATCCAAACACTTAAGAGTTATGCTGATCAATAAAATTGTACAATTTCCCTTAAAAGAAAAAATTTTAGAAGGTCACTTGAAATGTTTCAAAGACTGCATTTTGTATGTACTGCACCATTAAAACGGTTGTTAAGGTACCTCACGACATAAGCATCAATCTTTTTCTCCATCAACAATTCTCCCTCAAAATTTGCGTTGCCTTTTAAGGTTCATAACCCTGTTATTTACTTTAGGTCACAGCCATAACAAATGAATAACTATTTTTAAGCTCCCTCTGCCAGTCTGTGAATGAACATCACCACTATAACAATGAGGTGACCACTGTCACACTGGCATGCTGTAACGATCAATCCACTGAAGGCGAGTGTAGTGAAGAACCCAAGTGCAGTTTATTTACAATGGTGATCCAAACAATAATTCGAGACTTGACATGAACAGACTTGACTAGAACAGACTTGACTTGGCATGAACAGGACTCACCAACAGCAGAATTACAACATCAATACACGACGAGAGACAATGGCAACATGATGGCTACTTATAGCAAACAAGAGGGTCACATGACAAGAACAAATCAATGGGAAACAAGACACATGACTAGGACAACCAATCAGAACATAACACACAGACAAGGGAATCACATGACAGAACATGATCACATGTGGAGCAAGGAACACATGACAAACCAGGTGAAACAGACTTGACATGAACAGACTAGACTCACCGACAGCAGGTTACAACATCAATACACGACGAGGGCACAATGGGAACATGAAGCTACTTATATCCCCCCCTCTAAGGGCGGCTCCTGATGCCCTAATGTAACATCCACCCCAACCAACACAACAAAACGTTCAGGAGGGTGGAGGACTGGTGGTGGTCCAGGGGGTGGGACGGAGGGCCAGGCCCATGAAGCGGAACAAGCAGAGCAGGGAGCCATGGCAGAGCGGGGGGCCATGGTGGAGCAGGCAGACTAGGCAGCCATGGCGGTGCAGGCAGAGCAGGGCGGCCGGGTGATGACGGCAGAGCAGGAAGCCATGGCGGGGCAGAGACATGGACAGACCACTTGCCTGAGACAGAACAAGTAGAGAGTTCTTGAATGGCCTCCTTGGCTGTGACAGGAGTGGATAGGAGAGGGCACTGAGACAGACTCATAGGCAGGAGAGGCCACTAGGGCAGATTCATGGACAGGAAAGGCCTCAGGAGCAGACTCGTGGACAGGAGAGGCCTCGGGAGCGCAGTGTGCAGCCCACACGCTCAATGGCGACCGCCATTTCAGGAAGGGCAGCAGAGTGTGGGATGACCTCTAAGATAGCGGGGCTTGAGAGCGCTGACGTTACCGGGATGCCTGCAGCTCACATCGACATCAGAGGTAAGTCCATCACGCTAGCTATCAGACCTTTCAGTCCAAGCCCAAGCTCCACGTCCGACTCAGGCGTGACCGGGGACTCGGGCGTGGCGGCCATCTTGGCCGGGGACTCAGGCGTGGCGGCCATCTTGGCCTGCTTAATGTGAGCAGACTCTGGAAGATCTTAAATAATATAAAGCTTTTAAATATAGGCATAATGTCAACCTGCATGTTAGCTAAATGAGATGTGGTACTTGCTTACCAGAATTAATTATAAAAACACGTTGTCCTCCACTCATAAGATATTAAAGCTTTTTATTTTAGTATCTGTCAGTAAGACTTCTAAATATGTTTTTAAAGTAAACTAGTAGTAAAATTTTTCCAGAACCCAACTGGGAAAAGTGAGATTCCCTTTCGAACGGTCTCTCCCGTTGCGTAACACACTATGGGGAGTCTCCTCTGAATACTGAAGCCTGATTTGTTCATGTTCGTGTAGCTGCACGAACCAATGGCGCTTCAACCCGCCAAAAAATCAAAGCCTGGACTCCGACAGTGGCCAAACGTTTGTGCTCGCTTTCCAGTTCCCCGTCTAACTCCGGGCAATGGAAGTGCTGCTCATGCTGGGCCCGTCCTTCCCACTCAGTGCGTGCCCAAGCAAATTAACGCTGTAATAGCGGAAGAGAGAGAGAGAGAGAGAGAGAGAGAGAGAGAGAGAGATGTTATGGAAATTTCAGATTTTTTTAAAGAGATAAGACCAAATTAACTTGTAATTTAACTTATAATTAAACTTAACAAAATTAAAGCTGCGGTCCGTAACTTTTTTGTGTTCAAATTTGACAACAATTCATATAATAAGCGAGTACACCATGAATCCATTTTCCAAACCGTGTTTTCGGCTTGTTCTGAATCACTACGGTACACCTATAATAAGTGTTTATATTCGGACTATTTCGACTGGTTCGGGTAGGTACCGCTGCGGAGTAGCCACGTACCTGCGTGATTCGCCAAACAGAGAGAAGTAGCTCCGGCTACAATGTTCTTCTGCAAGACGCACGCAGTTCTGTTTATTAACCGCTAGAGCGCCAAAAATGACGGACTGCAGCTTTAAATTATATTAAATTTCAGGCGCATAAAACTGGTTTACAAATATACTTTTAAAAACAAGTGCAAAGAAAGTCTTACAGATAAAAACTTTTTTTATTGTCTTTTGAGTGTGGTGCTCCGGTAGGAAGTAACGTTTGGACAAGCGTTCCATGTGCTCCCCAGTCTGGACCAATCAAAACGCTCGTAATCATTCATCGCGGGAATCCGAATCAGCCAATCGCGTTGCGAGTCGTGGTGCAGTAACTTTAGCGCTGTCACAGCGTTCTGAAAAACGATCAGCGGTGCTGCGGTTCATGTCACTTTGGGACAGAAAGCTGCAGCGGGTGAGTTAAAAACAGCAGTTTTCTTAATGCCTTTCTTAACCTTATCTTATAGCTGTTTAGATATGTTAGAGAATCGTTCTGTTTTGTTGCGTGTATTCAGGATGAGGATAATGTTAAACAGCTAAACGTAACCTCAGTTTCAAGCTGTCAGTAACATGTCCAGATCATAAATCAAAATAAATACATATTTTTAGCTCTTTTTCGTGACATTATTTTCATGATAATTAACCATCGATCTCACATGACACGTTGCATGTTTTGTAAATCATCGTGATTCACATTATATATATATATATATATATATATATATATATATATATATATATATATATATATATATCTCTCTCTCAAGTAGAGTAGTTGTATCTGTATCATGACTCGTATTTAGCCCAGCTATGTAAATAAAATGTTCACATGAAATTAAGACTAAGCACTATTATTTATAGTTGACAACTATTCAGAATATATCTGCATATAACTCAAAGCAAATTTTACTTTGTGGCACATTTCCACCTATTCTCATTACAGTGAAGCAAATAATAATACATTAGAATGATTTAGTATTTCTACATTATGGTACCATTTATTGTACTGCCTTTAATTTGTGCTGAGTAAAAAAAAAAAAAGGCACACAACCAACAAATGATCTGTGATCTCGCCTCTTGTTTCCTGTTAACAGGTCTGATCACAGGCATGGCAACAGCTCAGTCAGTGTTCACTGTGGTTGTGAGCATTCTTTTCATCACAGAGCTGATTCTGGCCGAGAAAGACTACTACGAGATCCTGGGTGTACCCAAAGATGCATCTGACCGGCAGATCAAAAAAGCTTTCCATAAATTAGCCATGAGGTATCACCCTGATAAAAACAAAAGCCCTGACGCTGAGGCAAAGTTCAGAGAGATCGCTGAGGGTGAGTCAGCATACCTATTCAAAACGACACGGGACACACACCTTTCTCACATTTTATGTGTTGATCAGTTGTTAAAGCTATATATTTTTCATTCCCAGCATATGAAACATTATCAGATGACAATCGGAGAAAGGAGTACGATCAGATGAGGAGCAGTCCGTTCTCCAGAGAGAGTCCAAGAGGAGGCGGTGACCACTTCCGTCAACATTTTAGCTTCAACTTCGATGATATATTCAGAGACTCTGACATGTTTGGAAACAATCCTCATTTGCATAATAAAAGACATTTCGAGAGCCACTTTCAGGCCCACGAAGAAGCACGTAACAGGCACAGGAGGCACTTCCAGCACTCTTTCGGTGGTGGCATATTTGATGATATGTTTGAGGATATGGAGAGGATGTTCTCGTTTAATGGACACCAGACTCGGACTAAGAGCAGGTTTCATGGTTCCAGCAGGCAGCACTGTAGGACTGTCACACAGCGAAGGGGCAACATGGTTACAACACACACAGACTGCTCTTGAGTTAATGTGCACATGGGAATGTCTTTTGGTTGTGTTGACTGAAACTGTAATTAATTCTGTTGTGCTTTTTTGTGTTTTGGATCAGTTCTGATGACCTCTATAAAATCGTCTGCAAGAATCACACATTTTTTTGGGCATAACATCCTCCGTTTAGGGATCCTAAGTCTGACTTTATACAAAATTCACCATCCACAACATATTAATAGTTATCAACAGTTAACATTAACATGTATTCACTGTGAACACGATGACCTCATATGGCAAAAAAAAAAACATTTTCAGATATATTTTAAATATATTTCAAAATATATAAAAATGGCCAAAATGTAGATGTTAAAATATTTACATAAACATATTTTTCATGTTTTAGTTATTTCATCATATATTTTTGACCATTTTGTATATTTTTAGTCTAAACTTATTTACTTATATTGTCCAAAACAAAATAAATAACATTTTTCATTTACTCAAAATGCATTTTAAAATTAGAAATATATTTTCTTGCCCCTTGAAGTACATTTTATACTACAGTTTGGCATTTTAAGGTTTGAATTAATTAAAAAAATATACTTCCTTAGGCCTGTAAACATATACAGTATTTAGCATAGATTTTAAATATATCTTCTGAAATATATTTTGGCCAGAAAAAAAAGAAAATATAGGGCGGTTGAAATAGCACTTTAATTGTTGATTATTTATAAACTCTTATTAAGCTATCTTTCATTTGTTATGAAGTCAAGATTTAGGGTCCTTTAAAAGCATATTTAGTTTTTAGGGTAAAGTGCTTCCACATTTGTTTACATCCGATGCCTTTAAAACACACAATTGCAATTATCATAAAGTGCTGCCGCAAGGCTCATTTGTGATTTCAGCCTGTTTTAGCTTGTTTTGGAAGATCCTAGAGACTTTGAACCTGTTTGAGACACGAGACATATGAGTGGTTTAGAAGTTAAGAAAGGCTGAAAGTGTGTAAATGCTTGGTTTGCTTGATGTTGCACAATGTCGAAAAAGATTGAAACTCGTTTGATTGCGGTCATGTCCTTAGCCAACATTAAACACAATTTGTATATCTTCCATCTCGACTAAAATTACACCAAAGCAAGTGGCTCTTTTAAAGGGGAAGTCCCTTACATGTGCAATAATGATCAAGATCTTCTTGCTGTTGGGGGATACTGTTAGCTGTAGGGCTTACCTGAAAAAAAAAAAACCGCTTTATAGGATCAAATGAAGTGCCGTGCTAAAAAACGGTTATTATTTTGTTTCAGCTTTGGTATCACGTTAAATTTCCATGTAAATGGAATGTTTCTGAGCAAGTACCTGAGGCACTTGTACAAAAAGCAATATATATAGTATAAAGTATATTGCTTGTGTATATATATATATATATATATACAGTGGGTACGGAAAGTATTCAGACCCCCTTAAATTTTTCACTCTTTGTTATATTGCAGCCATTTGCTAAAATCATTTAAGTTAATTTCTTTTCCTCATTAATGTACACACAGCACCCCATATTGACAGAAAAACACAGAATTGTTGACATTTTTGCAGATTTATTAAAAAAGAAAAACTGAAATATCACATGGTCCTAAGTATTCAGACCCTTTGCTGTGACACTCATATATTTAACTCAGGTGCTGTCCATTTCTTCTGATCATCCTTGAGATGTTTCTACACCTTCATATATATATATATTGTACACTCCCTGTGGTTCTGTAGATATGAATATATTTATTTGGCTCTCCAAAGATTTGAGCTATAGCAAGACACTTCTATCAGTGCTGTGCCAGTAAACAATTACCTCATGTTAAAGTTTTGTGTACAGTCAGAATGAAAAGCAATTTTGCTAGTGTTGAGCTTAATGCTAAAAAAGCTAAGAGTGTTCATGTTCTGTTTCTGCACTGTGTTAAAACTGGTTTTAGTTTTAATGTAATGTTCATGTAATGTAAAATGCAAGCAAGCACATGCTTGGGAATGAAAAACATGTAACGGAACAGCTGATTCCATCATAAACTAATATTGACATCAGCACTCTTAAAAATAATAATGTAATGTTCATGTAATGTAAAATGCAAGCAAGCACATGCTTGGGAATGAAAAACATGGAACGGAACAGCTGATTCCATCATAAACTAATATTGACATCAGCACTCTTAAAAATATTGGTTCCTAAAGAGTTTTTTTCACTGTGATGCTGTAGAAGGACTATTTTGGGCTCATGAACCTGAAGATGGTACATATTTAACACCACTAACAGATTTTGTTATAACACACAGATTATTGTAGCTTTGTACACTTGTGACCCCTCAACACTGCACAATTAAGGATGTGCCCAAAACCTGCATAAGGCAGTATATGATGGTAGGAAGGCATAAAATTAGACGTTTGCTTCAAAGATGCCTATTTATCTCAATGGAACTGGAAAAATCCTAGGAGGAAAAAAATATTGTCAGGCAACTGGGTGTGATCCAGTTATGGAATTATGTGGCAGTTGATGGAAAAATCGTATCAGACTATCATGTGCAAACATTTAAAATACAGTGTATTACATTTGTTTTACAAATTGGTTTAAAAGTAAATAAGCAAGCAAGCTGCTCTTAACACTTAAATGAATATAACAATTAAACAACCAAACAAATAAGTGAATGTTTAGCTTGTCTTAAGGTTTAAATTAATACAACTCATTTGCTTTTATAATTCAAACAAATCAATAAAAATGTTTTAGCTGCTCCTAAGGTTAAAAAGAATATTACTTATTTGCTTTTGTAATCAAAGCAGCAAAAGAAATAAAAGCACAACTCCGTTAAGTTTGGGCCTGCTGTTAACCTCCTCTAATTGAATAGAAGACCACAAATGGTTAGCCATAAAGCTCTGCCATTAAAAATACAAAGGAAACAAGCCAGGCCTAACAAGAACAATTACAGCAGCATTGTTTTCTTACCCAGAATCAGTAAGCCACGTTAGAGGTCAACTGTATCAGGCAGCTTAAGTGATCTGTTTACCTGTGCAGGCACTTTGGGAACTTATTTTGATTGAGTGCCAGGAAATAAAGAAGTTGAATAGGAGCTGTGTTGTGGTTATACTGCCCTTCCCTCATTGGGTTTGGTATTAATGGTCCTTTTGAATGGGGGTTGAAGAGAAGGGGAAGGAAAGCAGCTCTTTGTTTGAAAAGATAAAGCCCTTGCTACTGCTTCGCCAGAAAATGTAAATACTTTGGCAGGCATGAAACGCATACATAACTTCATAAACCAATGGAACAATTTACACAAACATTTAGAGAAAGATAGTTAGGAAGAGAAGGATACAAAAAAAGGTTTATTTAAAGGCCTTAGATTTTTATTTTAATATAACCTCAGAGTTAATCATTCATTAATTATTTATTGCTAAGTGCTCAGTTATTATCTTTATGTAATTTCAGATGACAAACAGAAGTGACTCACTGACACTATGTCACATTTCTACTGCTAAACAGGTGTTTTAATGCTGAAGATTAAACTGCAAATGTAATTACCTTGTGAGTTTTCATACCCTTCAAGCAGTTTCCCACATTTGATCATCTGCAGCAGACAGCAAACAATTCCAAGGTTTGCCACAGATGTTCCAGAACAGTTAAACCCTGTCAACAGAAGAAAAGAAAAAAAGTCTGAAAAATGTAAACAGGTATGTACAGTGTACAAATGTAAGGTTCTTGAGAAAATTTCCCAGCAATGAAACTAAACTTTGCATTAAATTTTACATTACAATTTTTTTTTACTGACCCCAAACTTTTGAGTGGTTGTGTGTGTGTGTGTGTGTGTGTTTGAAGTTTCATTGATATGCTTGGGGTCAGTAAGATTTATTTGATTTTATTTGAAAGAAATCAATACTTTTATTCAGCAAGGGTGCATTAAATCGGTCAAAAGTGACAGTAAAGACATTTGTAAAGTTACAAAAGATTTCTATTTCAAAGAAATTTTGTTCTTTTGACATTTCTATTCGTCAAAGAAGAAGAAAAAAGTTTTGTGGATTTCATAAATAGGTTTATTATGCTATTTCCCCATGCATATTAGTAGAACTTTTGATGGTAAAAGTTGTTCAAAGATGTGCAAGCTGTGACAGCTGTTTTCTTTAGTAGATGATTTATATATTTTTTATTGGAATTCATGGAAGTCTGACTATAATTAATACTGTTCGACTTAAACCATGTATTGTTGTAGGTCCTAATAAAGCTACCATTAAAAGTTACCCACTAAAGTCCATTGTTACTGACATTTGGCGATTGACAAGTACATTATGTTCATTTTGGACATGCACATGTTCATACACTGTTTGGGGCACTATTTGGGGGTATTCACTATATAATCAAATGAAAGACTTTTACCGTGACAACTTCAATTAATGTTAAGTGTACAGACACAGCTAATATAACAGCATGATGATGTAAATGACAGCAGAAATCATTTGCCATTTTGCCAGTATAACTTATTAACTATTGTAAGAGAGATTAGTTGTTGACACAGTTTGGGGCCACACATTTCCACCCAACAGTGCATATTTCCAGCATATCGACTATTTGCCAGAACACAGCGGTAATCTCAGTCGACTGAAGTGCTGAGATCTCATAAAATTTAGCTGGTTCTTTTATCAGTAAAACTCTTACTTTCATTCTCTGCACACCTGAAAGGGGAACTACGGGAGCCAGTCAGTTGATATTTAAAACTTGTGTCATGAGAAGGTGAAATGAATTAACTGCTGTTGTTAACTTAGAACAATACATGGCAAAAAGGAATAAAATGCATTAAAATGGAACAGAATTTTGATGATTTGCCTTCAGCTTGACAGATAAACAAAGTTTGTACTCAAGTTTTTCATCTTTCATGTCTTTGCCTGTTTAGCTTATCTACGCATCACTAAATGGAAGAAGGAAATGATTATCTTTAACATGACGTGGGTTGCTTCTAGGCTTGTTTTGTAAGAAAAGAACGTTTTTTTTTGCAAATTCTTATACACACTTACAGAATCTGACTAAAATAAATAAAACAGTGTTGAATTGGTGTTATTTTTTTTATATAGGCATGAAAAGAACATGAAAATCCATATAAAAAATGTTGGATCTTGTTTTCTTGAAGTGGCCGACCTCAAATGCAATTTCCCAGCCATCTGCAGCTTTTCTCTTGCTGTGATTATTAGAGCAGTTGTTGTTTGGTGCCTCTCAATACATTTTTACAGGACCAATAAACTAAAGTGCCGTTGACAGCGTCTGACCAGAAATGCAAATGTTTTCACAAAGGAGAAAGAATCCTGGATAAACTAGTGCTTAATCTCTCTCTCTCTCT